GTGAAACAAGCATTTCTTGCCATATTTATCCACAAAATATGGCATATTGAACCTTAGCAATTACATCAGCAAAGTTTTGCTACTGAAAAGCTCACGGGAGCATAAGAAAAAACCTGACTACATGTGATTCAGAGGAAATAATTATGAATATTATTGACACAAAAAATAAAAACACAGTTGGAGACTTTCAGAACTGCATGATAAAATTATCAAGAATTTAAAAGACAAGAGGAATAACAAAAAGTTAAAACCAAAAAGCCAAAGTTTTGCCGTCCCTAAAAGGCAATCCAAAATCCTATCTGTTTATCTGAGTATAACTTTACATGGAGTTAGGAATTTTTTTGGAATCCTTTATTGTGATCATTCACAGAATTTTAAAAAATGTGCATGCTGGCAGGTGTCTTTAATCCCAGCTACTTGGGAGGCTGAAGTAGGAGAACCACTTGAACCCGGGAGGCGGAGGTTTTAGTGAGCCAAGTTCCTGCCACTGTACTCCAGCCTGGGTGACAAGCAAGATTCTGTTTAAAAAAAAAAAAAAAAAAAAAAAAAGAAGTGTGTACAATACAAGTCTTAAAAAACAAAAGAAGACTAGATGTGTGACTCATACTTGTAATTCCACAACTTTGGGAGGCCAAGGCAGGAGCATCGCTTGAGCGCAGGAGGTCAAGAGCAGCCAGGGCAACAATGTCTACACACACACACACACACACACACACACACATATATACATTTAAGTTTGTGTGTATGTATTAAAGCAAGAGAGACAGAATAACCCATAAAAATAGACATGAAAAAGAGAAAAGAAGACATACCGGAAAATGTACAAAGTATAAAATAGAATAACCAAAAGTGGAGCTGGTCTGCAGTTATCACCATAAATGTTACAGATTCATTTACTCAACAGCATTGATTGAGTATCTTGTATATGCCAGGTATTGTTCCAATCACTAAGGTACAGCAGTCTCTTTTCCTGTGGAATTTACACACTTGTCAGAAAAGACTGATAATTAACAAATAAACCAAAATAGACTGTATGTAAGATAAATGCTACACAGGAAAAAAAAAAAAAAGGCGAGATAGGTGAACAGGAAGTGCCAGGTGAAGCATTTGTTGTGTTGTGTGGTGTAGCACGTATTGTAGTCTTGGTGAGCAGCCCTGAAGCAGATGAGGGAATGAGCAGATAATGGAGGTAATCTACATTTCTCAATTAAAGACAGAGTCTTATTTTGGATTTTAAAATCTTAAAATATATTGCCAGGAGTGAAAAACTTAAAGCTAAATTGGAGAGAAAAAAAATATGAATAAAGATTTGAACAACTATGCCAAACACACTGGGAGAGAAAGCAGAGGCAGTAATGTTCATATTCACACACAGAGCAAGAGTTTTAGGCTGAAAGTATTCAATAAACAAAGTTCTTTCTCTGATAAAATATAAATAGTAAAATTATATCATATTGAATCAATGCTCTAAAATAATACAAGATATGTAAATATACAAAAATGAACTATAAGGAACATAAGAAGAAATCAACTGAAGTGCCAAAGTAGAATACATTTGAAATTGACAGTGTTAAATCTTTAATATATGAAGATCAAGATAAGACTATAAGGGAACATTCCATGTAGAGGAATTAAGTGTTGAAATATAGGGCACATGTAGTATACTACAGCTAAATTTCCTAGGGATGACTCATTGATGATGAGAGCAGGGAGGTAAACTGAACCTAGTTTTCCATTTGAGTCAAGCTAAAGAATTTCATCATGCCATTAAAAGATTATTAATATAATCATAGTTGTATTTTAGAAAGATCATATAGGGGAATATACTGGAAAATGTAAGATTTTGTTAAATCCAAGGGAAGTCGTTTCCAGACTCTGTGTCACTACAGAATCTATTCACTGAAGTAGGGGAAGAAACAAACAGAGGGGATGTTTAATTAAGAGATCTAGAGGAAAATAAGTTAGGTTTCTCTAGTAGTGGTTTCTCTTCCTATTACCAGCAAATCAGATTCCTGAAGAGGTAAGATTTTAGGCCAAGTGATATGTCGATAAGAGGCTATTTTAAAAGTTTCAGTGTGATGATGAGGGTCTGGATTAGAAAAGTGGCCACAAGTATGAAAAAAACAATGGCAAATTATGAATGAAACCAGTGGGAGTTTGTGAAGGATTGGCTTTGAAATAGGAGGAAGTGGGTATAGTCAAGAGTTACACATAGGGCAGCTGGATAAATAATGATACAATGAACATCATCCACAGAACACAGTATCTATTTCCAGGTGTGGCATCACTTTGCTGCTGAGAATAATTTAACAAAATACTTAGAAAAATTATTTTCTAAATTGATAACCTGAAAAGCTAATAGAAACAACCAGGCCAAACTCTAAGGGAAAACAAAACCTTGGTGATATGGTTTGGCTGTGTCCCCAACCAAAACTCACCTTGAATTGTAGCTCCCATAATCCCCACATGTTGTGGGAGGGACCTGGTGGGAGGTAATTTAATCATGGGGCAGGACTTTCCCATGCTGTTCTGGTGACAGTGAATAAGTCTCACAAGATCTAATGGTTTTATGAAGGCAGTTCACAAGATCTAATGGTTTTATAAAGCCTATCCCCTGCATAAGCTCTCTTGCCTGCCACCATGTATGATGTGACTTTGCTCCTCATTTGCCTTCAGCCATGATTGTGAGGCCTCCCCAACCCATGTGAAACTGTGAGTCAATTAAATCTCTTTCTTTTATAAATTACCCAGTCTCAGGTATGTCTTTATTAGCAGCATGAAAACAGGCTAATACACTTGGAGAGGTAAACAGGGCACACAGTACCAAAGTCCTTTTGACCTGAAGAGATTTACAAATTCCTGCAAACTTAGACTTTGAATTTGGTGGACTAATGAAGAGTTACGGCCCTGAGTCTACCCAGGTAGTGAGAATAATAGATGGTGTGCCCCACCATACACCAGAACCCCTAAGGGCTCTACCCTTAGGACAAAGATGAATCAGAGGTAAATCCATACACACTCACACATATCCCCAAGGAATACAACAAAGTTGTCTTGTTAAGTGGGTAGGAAAAGAAAAAGAGAGAAAACTCCGTCTGAGAGGTTATGGCCATTGGAAGGCCTCTGTAAGATTTGCAGCCCTGATTTGCATTGTCTGGGATTACAGGTGCCCACCACCACACCCAGCTAATTTTTGTATTTTTAGTAGAGACGAGGTTTCACCGTGTTGGCCGGGCTGGTGTTGACCTCCCGACCTTAGGTGATCTGCCCACCTCCGCCTCCCAAAGTGTTGGGATTGCAGGTGTGAGCCACTGCTCCCAGCCATTCATGATTTTTTAAACAAACACTTATTAAAGCATGAATAGAATGTAACTTCTTGATTAAGAGTATCTAGGGGGGAAAGAAGCTATAGCAAATATCCAATCAGATTTTCTAGTAACACACCAAAAGCTTTTGCTATGTCATCTACCACTACCTCTATTCATCATTGTATTGGAGGGCTGAATTAGTCTAGACAAGCAAGAACAATATATTAAAAGTGTAAGGTTGGAGAGTAAGGAGCCCAGCTATTCCTGTAACAGATTATCCAATTGTGGAGATAGACAACCTCAGGCTCGTGTAGCTGGAGCAGAGTAAGCATTGCAGAAAGTCATAGAAGATAAGGTCAGAGAAGTACTGGAATTCAGACCACAGTGGCCCTTGGAGGGCATTGCAAGGACTTTGACTCTTACTGAGAGAGAGGTTGAAGCCATGGAGAGTTTTGATAAGGGGAGTGGATGAAGTGACTTAACATTTTGAAAGTGTTACTTTGGATGCTTTTTTGAGAATAGACTGAAGGGAGCTATGGGCAGAATCACGGAGACCAATTAGGAGGCACAAGAGAGGTGACAGTGGCTTGTACAGGGTGGTAGTGATGACAGAGGTGAGAAGTGGCTAGAGTCTATATATTATGAGGCTTGAGTAAATAGGATTTCTGATGGATTCGATACAGGGTATGAGAGACAGAGGAATTAAGAATGACACTGAGGTTTTTGGGCTGAGCAGCAGCAATAATGTAGCTGCCATTAATGAAGGTGAGGAAGGCTGGGGCTGGAGGAGGTTTGCATGAGGATCAGGAGCTCAGTCTGGAATGAGTTCACTTTGAGAGGCCCAACCAACATCGAACGAAGCTGTTGGAAGGCAGTTAGCTACATAAGCCTAGACTTCGGGGAAGAGCACTAGATGGTAGATTTAAATTTGGGAATTATCCATCTAAAGATGGATTTAAAATCCTGAAACTGTATGAGATCTCCAAAGATAGTGAGAGAAGAAATCTAAAAACTGAGTCCTGGACACTCCAATGTGTAGAATGAACTAGGAGAGCCTGAGCTAACTGGGTGGGTTTGGGTGAGACGCAGTGTGCAGAAATTAGCCTTTTTCATCCTGAGCTATGATCTTTCACTCTAGCTCCTTCCAAGGGAGGGGACTCTGTCTCAGGACCAGTGTCTGCTTGGCTAAGTGAATGCTGCAGCATCATCTGATTACTGACAGTGCCTCTCAATGTGGCACCCTAAGGATGAGAGAACCACAGCATGCCCAGTTTGGTTCAACATATTAATCCCAGTATAACTTAATGACCAATGTCTACTGACGATTCCCCTTGCCTTCCTAAGGCATTTTCTCACTGCCTTTTACCTCTTCAGGAATCTGATTTGCTGGTAATAGGAAGAGAAACCACTGCTAGAGAGACCTAACTTCTTTTCCTCTAGATCTCTTAATTAAACATCCCCTCTGTTTGTTTCTTCCCCTACTTCAATGAACAGATTCTGTAGTGACACGGAGTCTGGAAACGACTTCCCAGGGACTTAACAAAAACTAACACGCATTTTCCTAATTCAGGAGTCTCAGGGCCCTACTTCCACCTCTTAGTTTAAATGAAGGTGTCTTTACAAGGTATGATATTAATGTTTTTCGACTTCTATTGTATCAGTATCAAGACACTTCTCTTTATTTCCTAATAGGAATGGGAAGACACGGTGCAGTTGGAACTGTTACTGAGAGAATTTTCACATTATTCTATGATCACTTGGGATTCCTACATAAGCTGACTCCGGGTCGCTTTGAAGCTAGTGGACCACCCACAGCCTTTGGGAATTCTAGAAATCTTTTTGGACAGGTCAGTATATAATGCATTGAAACAGTTTGCCTTATTTTAAGAATAGATGCCACATTTGATACACAGAATAATGGGAAGATGGGAAAGTATTTTCCTTGGGACAAACTCATTAACGCAGTTTGCTCTATTTAACTAAAAGAAGAACCTCCATGTGCCACAAACATCTCCAAATCTTCTTCCAAGTCCCATATGGGGTTATATAGCTTCAATTCCACCTAGAATATCTTCATGCAAATATCTTCACAACAGAATACCACTAGACATTCTAAGCTAGAACCATTACTCCCAACCCAGGCCAAGGTAGGGATGATTCTCTACCTCCTAAGGTTGGCCCTGGAAAATCATGGGTTGTGAGGCCAGACACCATGGCTCATGCCTGTAATCCTAGCATTGTGGGAGGCTGAGGTGGATAGATTGCTTCAGCCCAGGAGTTGGAGACTAGCCTGGGCAACAAGGTGAAACCCCAGCTCTACAAAAGAATTCAAAAATTAGCCTGGCGTGGTGGCATTCTTCTGTAGTTCCAGCTTCTTGGGAGGCTGAGGCGGGAGGATCACTTGAACCTGGGAAATGGAGGCTGAAGTGAACTGCGATCGTGCCACTGAAGTGAGCTGTGATCGTGCCACTGAACTCCAGCCTGGGCAAAAGGGCAAGACCCTGCCTCAAAAAAAAGAAGAGAACATGAGCTGTGGTCTACTTTTCTTCTTTCCTATTAACCCTGCCCCCTGGTTTCTTTTTCTAGTGACAACATTAAAAGGAGTTATCTTCTTTACAGATGACACTTGATACAGGTTTTTCTAATAGGTTAATGTGTAATATGCTACTTGTGAAGGTAGCTCATCCTTGGGCACCAGTTACAAAACTGGACACTCTCAAACCATCAGCAAATTATCAAATATTTTTGACTGGGGTTAGTAAAACCTGCCCTTTGACTTCAAGGAAATGGAACAAAAGATGAATCTGGTTTTAACAGATTACTCCAATTGCCAGGCCAAAGCTGCAGCTGAGAGGATGGTGTTTAGCTTCCCCTTTCCCTGTGCTGCATAGAGAAAGAGGGCGGGAACTTCCATGGGAGAGTGAAGATGCCACATGTGACGCCCTGTGTCTTTGCCCACGTCTGGGGCGTGGATTCCGCATTTATACAAAGCAAATTATGTGGACAGGAGCGTAGAACTAACCCAAAAAAAGCATTTACCTCCATTTTTCACCAACTTCACAATTTGTAGAAAGTGTCTTAGTTCCCTTATGTGAAAGTTTAAATTATTAAAAGAAAAAAAAAAAAAAAAACCTACAGGTATTTGTATACTTAGGACAAGTTTGATGAAGCCATACTCAACAATATCACTTCCCTCTCCGCAAACTATGCATGCATTCTCTCTGGATAAAAATAATCATTGCCTCTTATTACAGTGTTGGAGCTCTTAATCTTTATAACAACTATTTATTTGTATTTCACTTATGAAGAAAGTGAGGGACAGACAGGCTGGTTAGTTATTAGGATTAGACATCTATCCTAAGCAACTGGCTCCGGGGTCTGTGCTCTTAGCCACCCTGCTGCCTTTCATTGGATTTACATACACTTTCCCTAGGATACACTTGCCACTCCCAGGCTACAGTGTCATACAGAATTCTAAAGATATTTAGCAATTTCAGTGATTTTCAAGAGTCCTCAAGCCATTTGGCTCAGTCCCACATTTATTTTCCCGGCATCTATTTCCCCTTTCTCCTCAGTGCATTCCCAAAATTCAGTAACTAGGGAAAAAGGCATGACAGAAGATGAGTCTTGGAGGCACTATGGGACGGATGCGTCCCCAACTAGTCTGCATAATCTACCACCCACACCTTGTCTCATAGCAACAAAGTCAACCCCAACAGCCCTTTGGGATGGTCCTTACCTCTCTTCTCTCCCCTAAAAGTTCTCCAAGCAGGACAGGGTCAGGATTAGAGAAAGGTGTGTTGAAAAGAAAGACCTATAGATCAGAAATCTAGGCCAGAAGTGCCTGAATAGACTGCAAGGGGAGATCTGTGAGTCAAGAAAGGAGAACGGCTTATGCTGCCAGTTGGGAGACTCAGACAGCAGCTGTCCAGAGTCTCTAGCATGAGATCAGGAGCAGCAAGTGAGGACAGGGATTTCACGGGCCCTTTCCTAAATAAAACTTCAAATAAGAACCCAGTTCTAAAATCTGCATCTCCGGGCTCCTCACACACCCGCAATGTGAGTCAAGTTTCCATGTACCCTTTTACTCCAACCATCCACGAAGGACATAGGAATCTTACACCAAATATTAGTCATCAGAACTTCCATTCCTCCTTTACAGGAAAATACATCTTCCCTTGCACACACGTAGATGTTCCAACAAAACATGTTGACATATTTCTCCAATTGATAAGTATACCAGTATTGTTTTAATGTGAACTGGAAATAAATCTGTGACTTGAATTTTTTCATAATTGAAGTATAAAGTAGTTTAAATATAATATTTTCTTTTCTCTGTTTCCAGCCTCCAGATATGGGCTTTGAGACTGCGCTTGCCCCACAGCACACCTCTTTAGATGAAATTATCTTTTTTGCATACGTACCCGAGAACGAACCACAGGAAATGATCTACAGCAAGAAGTTCAACAATATACACTACGGAAAAGTGATACACTCTGGGTAGTGATTTGCATTTGTTTAGATGGCATATTGGTTTCTAGAATCTACTTTTTAAATTTTTTGAAATAGGGTCTTGCTCTGTCATCCAGGCTGGAGTACAGTAGTGCGATGACAGCTCACTGCAGCCTCAACCTCCCAGACTCAAGCAATGCTCTGGCCCCAGCCTCCAGAATAGCTGGGACTGCAGGCACACACCACCACACCCAGCTAAGTTTTGTACTTTTTGTAGAGATGGAGTTTCACCATGTTGCCCGGGCTGGTCTCAAACTCCTGAGCTCAAGGGATTCACCCACCTCAGCTTCCCAAACTGCTGAGGTTACAAGTGTGAGCCACTTCACCTGGCCAACAGAATCTAAATTTTGGACCTACTTTTTTGAATGATTTTCTTGGTCAAATAGAGTAAGCCTTTTTTTGACACCCCACAAGGCCAAATACATTTATAGACTCCAAGATGCCTTGCATGGTGCCCCAATTTTAGAAACCTAGGACCATTTATATCAGCGCCATCAGGCCAAGCTATAGAAATGTGTTTCTTGAGTATCAGAAATATTCTGGACTACACTGGATACTTCCTATCCACTGAGTTTACTCACATGACAATTCTTGTATATCCTAGAGACTAACACATTTAATGTAGTGGAGACTATCTTTTATGAAATATTGCATGGAACAATACACAGAATTCTCAGAAATGCTTACTTCTAAGGTATCAGTAAAAGTCAATAACCCTTCAAGGCCTAATAACTCTTATTCAGAATATGAATTCTGGCTAGGTGCCATGGCTCACACCTGTAATCCCAGCACTTTGGGAGGCCAAGGCCAGCAGATCAGTTGACGCCAGGAGTTGGATACCAGCCTGACCAACATGATGAACCCCATCTCTACTAAAAATAAAAAAATTAGCCAGGTGTGGTGGCTCACATATGTGATGCCAGCTACTGGGAAGACTGAGGCACAATAGTTGCTTGAACCCAGGAGGCCAAGGTTGCAGTAAGCCAAGGATGCACTACTGCACTCCAGCCTGAGTGAGAGAGTGAGACTCTGTCTCAAAAAAAGAATATGAATTATATAACCCCCAAATCTACCAACTAAAAAAGAAACAATTTCAACAATTTCAGATTACCAGAAACTCACTGCTATGGTCTAAATATCTGTTTTCCCCAAAAATTCATGTGGAAATCCTAACCCTCAAGGTGGTAGTATTAGGAGGTAGGGCCCTTGGTAGGTATCTGGGTCATGAAGACTCTGCCCTCATGAATGTAATTAGTGCCCTTACGAAAGAGACCCCAGAGAGCTAGCTAGGCCCTTCCACCACTGGAAGGACTGAAGGACAGAGCCAGCTAGGCCCTTCCATCATGGAAGGACACACATAGAAGACACCATCTATAAACCAGAAAGTGAACCCTCACCAGATACCAAATCTGCTGGCACCTTGATCTCAGACTTTCCAGCCTCTAGGGCTGTCAGAAATAAATTTCTGGTGTTTATAGACTACTTGGTTTATGGTATTTTGTTATAGCAGCCCAGATAGACTAAGATATTCACCTTGTCTCAAAGTGGTGGGCTCTATTCTTACACCAGGTTGGAATCCGTATATTACATGTGTTTGGGGCTGTCAATACATATCTTGTCCCACAGCTAACAATACCTTGCACTGTGAGGCAGCTCACTCAGAAGTGGAGGTGAACATGGGAATTAGACCTACTATAACAAACATCAGCAATATTTTTTCTTATGAGGATTGTATAAATTTTGTCTCTAACAAAAGTGTCAGTCATCTCTAGAATTGTTTTTTGCTCTAGGTGGATCTTGTATGTGTGATGTTCCAAATCAGCTAATTTGTGTTTATGTAGGTGTTTTTCTATAGAAAACCTACAGAATCACTTTTCAATCTTTTAATATTAATATGATGAATATTATACCAATGTTAATCTTAATTTGTTATATTCTAATTATTTTTAAAAGCATATGGTCATTCTCTTAAGAATCAGAATATTTAAAAACCAGAACAGCACAATGTGTGATAAGATTCAGTAACTTTGCTCCGTTTGCACAGAAACTAGGGAATGGGTATCTTCAAGGCAGGAAATATGAGCAAAGCCAGGGTCAGAGACCTGGATAGCAAGTGGAACTTCAACTAGGGAGGTGAGGAATTTGGGAACCCAGTGTTCTCAGGTCTGCAGGAGGCCAAAGGCAGTTATCTAGGTAGTCAGGACATAAGGCAGAGTGAACCATTCACTCACCTCCACCAATCAACATTTAACACTGACTACCAGCAAGGCACTGTGGCGGGTGCTGCAACAGAGTGGTGAGCATGACATTCAAGCATCTCAGTCCGTGAGCTTGTATTCTAGCCCCAGAAGCAGACAAGTATGTAATTACAGTTGACTAAGTCTACAAAAGGGGAGTATACAGCATTTAGAGAGTTTTTTCCTGGGGCTTGAGCCCTTGTTTGGAGAATCCTAGATTTCTCCTAGAATAACACCCAAGTTCCTTACTGGAACTCAAAAAGCCCCACTGACCGGGCTCCACTCTCTTGAGTGACCTCTTTGCTTTGTTCACTGCAGTGAAGTCACTCTGGTTTTCCTTTGGTTTCTGTAACACATCCTGCTCCTTTTGGCCTACAGGCCTTTGAGCATGCTGTTCCTCTTACTTGGAATCTTCCCCCAACCACCACTCTCTTCCTTCATCCTTGTTCTTCTGGTCTTTTCTTAGGCTTCAGAGTTTGGGTGAAAGAAGAGAGGTGAGGTAAAGGGACAAGAAGTCCTTCTGTTGGAGACTTCCAGAGTCTTTGGTTATAGGCAATGCTACCCTTGCCACTAGTGACAACTACCCCCGCCCTGCCAGCCCTTGGAATTCTATCACTGTGTTGGGGTCCCTTCACCCTTTCAGCAGTTCTTCTGGGCAGCATTTTTTTTTCTTTCCTGCCTCCCCTCCACCCCGACATGACCCTTCTCCCGCAGAGACAAGCATTGTCTTGGATTTTATGTTAACATCTTTTAAAGTTTTGCTTTAGAGCGTTAACACCAGTTTTATGAAATGTATGACTTGCCTTTTTCATATAACATTATGCTTTTGAAATTACTCCATATTGGTATGTGGTCTGTAATTCACTCACATGAATATGCTACAACTTATGTAGCTATTCTTCTATATTGTTTTGGAGTCATGTCAAACTTTTCCTTCCTTCCTTCCTTCCTTCCTTCCTTCCTTCCTTTCTTTCTTTCTTTCTCTTTCCTTCTTTCAACAGGGTCTCCCTCTGTCACCTATGCTGGAGTGCAGTGGTGCAATAATGACTCACTGCAGCTTTGACCTCCCTGGCTCAAGTGATCTTCCTACATCAGCCTCCTGAGTATCTGGGACTACAGGCACGCACATGCCACCATGCCCAGCCAGTTTTTTGGGTTTTTTGTTTTCTTTTTTTTTTTTGTAGAGATGGGGTTTTGCCATGTTGCCCAGGCTGGCCTTGAACTCCTGGGCTCAAGTCATCAGCCCACCTTGGCTGTCCAAAGTGCTAGGATTACAGGTGTGAGCGACCCCGCCCAGCTTTTCAATTTTACCTATGTAGAATTGATGTGTCTAGAGTGAAGTGGGAATCCAGTTTTTCCTTTTTTTTTTCATGTGGGTAATCTATTGTCCATACAAGCCCCTCCTTTCCCCCACTGATCTGCAGCACTGCCCTGTGATATATCCTGGTCCCATATATGCATAGGTCTGCTCCTGTCCTCTCTCCTGTTTCACTGGTGTATTTGTCTTCTCCGTGACACACTGACTAAATGACTCTAATTATGAAACATATGTGAATAACCCCCTTCCTCTGCCTTTTCTTGGCTTTTGGTCTTGCATTTATATGTTAGACTCAGCTTGTCAAGTTCCATTAAGGAAAATAAAAACCCCAAAACTTGGTAATGGAAATTACCTCTTGCAACCAAACTCTGCCTTATATTACTATTAGATAGATCTTGGGTGGGAATTTCGTGCTCTTCCTCTAGCAGTAAGATAATTATTAGTTCTTGTAGAATTTTAGGACCAAGACGGTTTCCTGATTCTTCTTAAAGGATATAAGTTATTATTTCCTCCTTCCCTCCTCTGCCACATATCTTTCCTTGGGCCTTGTGGGTGAGTGGACCCTTACTTCTTCTCTGACAGTAGATAAAAGTGTTTGCTTCATAAGAAAAAGGATGAGGGAGGGACGTAGGACTTCTGTACCAGCACCCTCCTGACACCCCCTAACCCTCAGCCACTGATCAGCTCTTTTGAGGCCTGTGTGCAAAAGTATCTAATGCCTAACCTTCTGTGGTTTAAGGCTTTTACTTCCTATGAGAGAAGGTTCAGGGAAGTAGGTGATGCTTCAGGTCTGTTTCCTCCCAACCTCTGATCCCCACAAACTACCTGTACCACCAGTGGTGGCTGTCTCTGGTCTATGGTCCTGCCCCAGTCCTTGCCACGAGCCTTCAAGGGAAGCCAGTGGAGTCTGCAAGTGAGTACAGACTCCCATTTGTCAGGTGCCCAAGCACTTCCAGACTCACATGCTAGCACATACCTGACCTTTGGCCCTTTTTTACAACTTCAGCTAACTCTTACTTGCTTGTGTTGAGGTCAGCACTGTTTCTCCTTCCCATGTTCTTCCACAGGTGACACTGTCCTGGTGTTCAGTCTCTCTCTGGAATGGCTTATTGCTCTGGGTTTCAGGTTAGTTGGTTATCTTGTGACCTTAGTTCGCTGACAAGCTAGAGAAAAGTCATGACTTTGTACTTTATCTTCTTTTTGTTTTGTTTTCTTGTTCGAGAGCATCTTTCTGCATTTAAACCAAAAGCAGAAGTCTTGTGATTGCCTTTTGTAGAGTAATCTTATATTTTTCAAATTTGCTAAATTCTTTTAATAATTCTAGTACTTTTTCTACATATTATCTTGGGTTTTGCAGTAGAGGTAAATTTTTAATTTTTTTTAAAGTTTCAATAGCTTTAAGGGTACAAGTGAATTTTGGTTACATGGGTGAA